GTGAGCTTGAAAATAATGGTTTAATTTCTTTAATGCCATTACCAATGCTAGTGTTAGCTTTTCTAGCCACGTCGGTGTTCCATTAAATCTGACCATGGGGCTATTGGATTACCCCAGATTGTCCTTGTGAAGGCCGAGCTCCTTGTAACATCTGATGTGCATGATGTCACAAGAGTCCCTTGATCTATCAATATGTGTCTTACCTGGCATTTTCCAACCTTCAGGGTTACTACCAGGGCATCGTTGTAGGGATATTGTACCATATCCAGGTCCTCTTCCATGAAAAAGATCATCAGCCCCCGACGTCCTTCCATTCAAGGCTTCTTCTGCTGGACTTTGTAGATATGCTGCAGATGCCCTACCCTCTGCGTCTCGCCTTAGATCTCGTTCTCATTAACCTTTGTGTGGATCACGTTGATAACTCGTGGTCCATCTGTCTGTGGTAGCAGGAAAGAAGATGCTACTTCTAGCGCCTGGGCTAGCTCCGTCTGTTCTTCTCGTATTTTCACTTCGTCTATCAGGTCTCTCAGGTGTCCCTATCTGGCCAGATCCTCCAAGTGTTGCTTTAGGGCCTACACCCTTGAGTCATGTGCCCATTCTCATCATGGTAGGCATAATTCTTCCTGGGGTTTCTATCCATGTACTCCCTTAAGATCTTCTAAGGTGCCCTAAAGTATGGCTAATTCCTAATTCTTTCCAAGACCCTATAAATGGGGATTTTGAAAACCGTGCTCACGGCCAGCACAGTCTTCAATCCTAGTTTTGATTTGTCGGTGTCATTATTTCATCGGCTATGCTTTGGCAACCTGTTTCTCTTCTCTTACTTTGTTATACCCATCTTATTTTCTTTCATGTCTTCCTCTACCCTTACATATTTCTCAATCCTTGCCATACGATCCTTCATGTTCTTTAGGAGGATCTTTGCAAGGGATTGCTGAAGGGAGCAGTCGTCTTCCAAGCCGTTCTTAAAAGACACGATTGCAAGTTCCTAGTTACAAGCCGGGATCCGATTGTAAATCTTGTAATATCTCTTGGCGTAAGCCCTAAGGCCTTCACCATCGTTTATCTTCAAAGCCAATAAAGAGTCTACCCTCAGCGGCTGTAATCTATTCGTAACTAACCTGGCCACGAATATCTCGGCTAGGCCTTCCCAGCATTTTACACATCCCTTCGGCAGCTTGTGGAATCAGTCTGACGCTATTTCCCCAAATGTTGACGGGAACATCTTGTACAGTAATTATTCATTCCCACTCCACAAGGCCATCGCATTCAAGTATAAACCTACATGGAAGTTTGGGTCTGACTTACCATCATAGATCTGGAACCTCAGTATGCTAAATCTCTTCGGTGCCTTGAAGGCATCCAATTCCAATGAGAATGGAGTTTTCGACTAGGCGTTAGATGTGATCTCAGCGTCCTACATCTTTCTTTACAGGTAATCTCACAAGTCTTCATTTGACCGTCTCAAAGCTCGGCTATCTGTCAACTTCAGCCTCTTTGGTGCACTACTTTCTATGTTAGGTTTCATATTTTTGGACTTCTCCACATCTACCACGTCCTCAAAGCAAAGGCCCTATTCGTGGACCTGTCGAGATCCCTTAACCTATGCTACCTTGGTCCTCGGGGTTCTTTGAGGCTCCTCCCATCGGGACTCTGCCCGCCCAACATTTTTTTATCGCTGATGTGAAGTCCCTGGTTTTTTCACACGCTGGGGGACTGTTGGCACTGTAACCAGTCCTTCCTTCTAAGTGTTGGCATTTCTTTCAGGGGTCGGTGTTTTCAGTAAAGGCAACGCCGGCTACATCACCTTACTCTACATCATAAAGTTTACCAAGGTCTGTAGATCAGTCAACTTATTTGCTAAGTCCTTAAGCTCGTCGTCTCTCCTTACGCGTCTTTCTTTCCATACCTGGCAATCGCTTTCGTTATAGTATTTCTCCCAGTTGCCTCTTCTCAGGCCATTACGACCCCTTGCCACGTTGTTGGCCTCAGGCTTCACTTTCTGTACTTCTTCGTCATCATTTCCCACTCCAATGTTGGGATCAGCGTACTTCTCCTCCTTACTGTACATGTCGTCCCCGACTCTCACCTCTTGTTCGGAGTTGGCCATCTACTCTATACTAAGTTCCCACAGATGGCGCCAAATTGTAGATGTTGATTTTTGACCTCACAACCAAACAGGGAACTTAGCTAGAGAGCACGTGGTAGAATAGATTAAACCAAACACTTGTCAACAAGAAGACAAGAATAACACGGTGGCTCGTCCACCTAGGGGCACTCCGACGATCAAGTCAATCAATCTTATCTCTCAAAGATATCAAACAAGTAACACGAATCTCAATTAAAGCTTACCTTAGAACCACGGGGGTACCTCACTTTTATAGCTAGTAGTGCCCTCGTCCCCTAGAACTCTCACTTCATAGGACTCAAGTACAACACTTATCTCGGACTCTTAGTTAGGTATGGATAAACTCCACAAGAGCCTCATCCCTATCCAAACTAAGCGCCTCACTTATCTAGGACTCTTGTCCTCTATCTAAATATCTCGGATTCTAGTATTACCGCACTATATCTTGGCAACACCGCAATCATCTCAGCAATCTAGCTCATCCGCCAACACTTTGGCGACACCTCAACCACATGGCACGACCCTAAAAATACATCCTCACAAATGACAATTATATAATTCTTATGCATTTGTTCCTTTTTTGTGTTTCATGTCTCACCGTTCCTGTTTAGGTGTCATGAATTCCTTAACACTCACCACCACCACTAACACCACCTCTACTACCTCCACCTCCACCATTCATTGAAAAAAGAGTTCATGAAGTAAAAGAGTTGATTTAACCTAATATATCCATTAATTAAATGAACAAGTTTAGATTAGATTTTTTTTAATACATAATTTGTTTAATTTGATCCTTCCAAATTCACTTGTTTATCATCTCTACTACATATGGAAATTTTTTTATTTTTTATTTTTATAAAGTAGAAATTCAATCAACACACTCTATCATATGATTCAAAGAAGTATTCTCACTTTGCTTGGTTCCTTTTTTCTAAAAACACTTTCAGAAAATTTTACTTTCTTATTTTTCGTATTTTTTTTGTTTTTACTAAATTTTTTTAATATTTTAAGTAATTTTTTTTACTTTTTAGACATACATAACATAAATATACCTAAAAAGTAAAAAAAAAAAAATTGTGAAAAAAACCTTTTAAAAATTCATTAAATACCAAAAATGCAAAGAAAAAAAATACGAAAATTCAATGCATTTTTTGTATTTTTATGTATTTATTAATTTTTAAAATATTTTTTCACACTTTTTTTACTTTTTAGATACATTTAAGTAAGGTGTATCTAAAAAAGTAAAAAAAATAAAATAAAATTTTAAAAATATTCACTAAAAACAAAAAAAAAAACACGAAAATCAAAAAATTCAATATTTAAAAAATTTAATCCAAAAAAGTCAAACCAAACACACGGATTAGAATTAATGTTTGAAAGAAGTAGGAAGGTCATGGTTTTCTATATCAGCTCAGATTCAGACCACTAAACTATGACCACTAATCGGAGCTCTAATTACGTGGCATCAAATAAGGAAGGAAAAATCAGACCTTCATATTACAGTGTGTGCGTTTCACGCACTGTGAAAAAAAAAAAAAAATTCCCGCCCAAAAATCTGATAACAGAGGGAGAAGAAATCGTGTCTATTCTGAAGCTCTATTCCAGGGAGAAGAAATCGTGTCTCCATTCCCGTTTTCGTCTTGCTCAAGCGTCTTCCCTCTCTCGTCTGAATCGGGGCTGTTCCAAGGAGAAGAAATCGTGTCTGCGTCCCCGTCTTTGTGTCGCTCAACCGTCTTCCCCCTCTCGCTCAAGCGTCCTCCGTCGTCCCTCTCCTCTACCGTCCGACGTATTCAAGTTAGTGCACCGTCTCTGGCGTCTTCGTCAGGCGTCTCCATATCCGATTGTCGTCCCTCGTCCAAGTAAGTTTATCTATGGCTTTTGTCCATCTCTTCCTCTATACTTACACATATACATACATATATATATATATATATATAATAGGATTTTGAGAATGACAAATATGTAATGAAATATACATTGAAGCTTATAATTTCCATAGCAGAGTAACATAAATTGTATAGCTTAACAGATTGAGAATGCCAAATATGTTAATTAACAGATTAAAACTCAAGTTGTAATGGCAATTAACAGGGTAAAACTCAAATTAACAAATTAGCATATTTAATAGGACCTTCTCAACATATTAACAGATTAGAAATTGTTTGGGAATACTAATTAACAGATTAAAACTCAAATTAACAGAAATTGTATGCCTGTCAAAATTGTAAGCTACACAATTTCTGTTAATTTGCTATGGAAATTGTTAATTAACAGTTTTAAGCTATACAGTTTTAATCGGTTAATTAACATATTTCTGTCAAAATTAACAGTTTTAATATGTGTTCAAAATTTCTGTCCAAAATCTGTTAATTAATAGATTATAACAATTTACAGTTTGGACAGTCCAAATCTGTTAAATTGTTTGGGAATCTGTATATTGTTAGGGAATGCTAATATGTTAATTAACAGTCCAAAATCTGTTAATTAACAGTCCAAAATCTGTATATTGTTAATTAACAGATAATATGACAGTCCAAATCTGTTAAATTGTTATAAATTGTTAATCTGATTTTGGACAGATTTTGGGTTAATCTGGTAACTTGCATTGTTAGAAATTGTTATAATCTGTTAATCTGGTAATTGTTACAATTTCTTACAGATTAGAAATTGTTACAATTTGAAGCTCTGTTAATTTTTGAAAGAGTAATATGTTATAGTCTCTTGAAAGGGTAATATGTTATAATTTGTTCAAGAGCTTGCATTGTTAATCTGTGTGTATATGTGTAAGTATAACAGAGTAATAACATAATAGCTTGGTTCTATTAATCTATTAAATCATTTGATTTCATATGGTATTTTTGAATGAGCAGGCATGGAGATTGGTTCGAACAGTGCTGAGAATCCTTTATTAAATGAGAGTGAAGAAGTTGAGGAACCGAAAAGGGGTATGTGTTTTAGCTCAAAGCAAGAAATGTATTCATTTTATGCCAAATATGCTAAACATGTTGGATTTTTCATAGCTTATAAAACTCAAGCTTGTGGCGATGATGGGGAATTAAGATATTTTGGGATTGAATGTTCTCGATCAGGAAAGAGAATCAAAAAATCAGAAGTAAACCCTCTAAAGCCATCTTTGTCTACAAAAATTGATTGCAAAGCAAGGGTACAGGCAACCTTACAAAAGGATGGGAGATTTATGTTAACCACAGTTAAGCTTGACCATAACCATGACTTGATTCCCACAGAGTCACGTCATTTTACAATGAATAAGAAAATTCTTACTCCTGTGAAGAGAAGATTAGAAATTAATGATCAGGCAGGGATTGGGGTGTCTAGAAATTATCACTCAATGGTTGTTGAAGCTGGGGGTTATGAGTCATTAACATTTGATGAGCGAGATGCACGAAATTACATTGACAGAGCTAGAAAATTGAGGCTTGGAGAAGGAGATTCCGATGCACTTCAAAAATATTTTTTGAGGATGCATGCACAAAATTCGAGTTTCTATTATATGATTGATGTTGATACTGACTTTCGCATAAGAAACTTGTTTTGGGAGGACGCAATGAGTCAGGCGACTTACAAAGAATTTGGAGATGTTGTTTCATTTGACACAACTTACCTCACTAATAAATATGATATGCCATTTGCTCTGTTTGTAGGAGTTAACCACCATGGACAGTCGATTTTGCTTGGTTGTGGCCTGTTATCTAGTGAAGACACTGATACATTTGTTTAGCTATTCAAATCATGGTTAAATTGCATGTCAGATCATCCCCCAAAAGCTATAATAACTTATCAGTGCAAAGCTATGCAAAATGCGATAGAAAAAGTCTTCCCCAATACTCGACATCGATGGTGTTTATGGCATATCATGAAGAAAATTCCGGAGAAATTGAAAGGGTATTCCCAATATGAATCCATGAAGATGGATTTGCAAAATGCAGTGTATGACACATTCACAAAAGATGAATTCGAGATGAAATGGAAAGACATGATTGCAAAATTCAATCTTTATGAGAATCAATGGTTGGGGGTGTTATATGATGAGCGACATCGATGGGTTCTTATTTATGTGAAAGATATTTTTTGGGCTGGCATGTCAACGACACAACGAAGTGAGAGTATGAATGCCTTTTTTGATGGATATGTCAACCCAAAGACTACATTAAAACAATTTGTTGAACAATATGACAATGCCTTGAAAAGTAAGGTAGAGAAAGAAAAGAAAGCTGACTTCAAGTCTCGGCACAAAGTCTTTGATTGCCTAACTATGTATGGTTTTGAGAAGCAATTTCAGGATGCCTACACCAATACAAAATTCAAAGAAGTTCAAGCAGAGATGAAGAGACTAGTTTATTGTCAGCCGTTTCTTTTCAAAGAAGAGGGTTCAATTTGTACATATTTTGTAAAGGAAGCTATGGTAGTTTTTGGGAAGGGAAGATGAAGCATGTGGACTTTGTTGTCTATTATAATTCTACCGAATTTGATGTGCAATGTATGTGCTGGTTGTTTGAATTTAAGGGCATCATGTGTGCTCACTCACTCGTTGTGCTCATTGCAAGATGCATAAATGAGGTCCCAAATAAATACATTCTACCACGATGGCGAAAAGATTTGGATAGAGGGTACACATGCATAAAAACCACATACACTGGCTTTGGGGATGATTTCAATGCAAAGGTGTATGAGAAGATGAACTGAAAATTGGTTGGCATTGTACAATTTGCTGGGAACTGTGAAGGGAAAATAAAACTTATCGACCGTGGGTTGGATGAAATCAAGGCAAAAGTGATGAAAGATGATGAAGGTGGTGGGAGTAATGTAGCACCTTCGACTAGTAATGTACCACCTATTACTAGTAATGTACCATCTTCCTCGATTGGCAGTATTAATAGAAAGGCAATCAGTCATACCAAGTTGCTTAGTCCTTTGGTTGCTCGGCGAAAAGGTCGTCTAGTTACTAAAAGAAAGGTCGCCAAAGTAGATCAAATAGTGAATCGGTTGAAGGCAAGCAAAAGAAAACATAACAAATCAAAGGTAAATTGGTATTCATTACTCTCTATTCAACTCATATTTTATTGTAATCATGTCATACATTTGAGGCATTCATTAACTTTTATGAATATAGGGAACTAAAGTGCTTGGAGGTGAAGGTGAAAGTCAATGTCAATCTCAACCTGAACGCAGTGTACGTAGAGAGCTTTATCCTTATGTGGTTGGCATGGAAAATAGTATGTGTGTGCCGGTACGTGTACATCATAGGAATTTACATTGATGCAATTTATGTTATTTTCCAATTTATTTTAACATTTCATTTTAATTGAATAGGGACACATGGTCAATGCTATTGGAGGCACATCTCTCACACCGGAAAGTGTGGGCATTATGAGCAGACAAAGTTTCATAAATCCCCCAACTCAGATTTATGGAGTTGGCACATCGCTTACCCCGTCGGACTGTATTGGAGGCACACCGGGATTTATGAGAACTCAACAATCCATGACTGCTACGCATCAAATTTATGGAGCCGTACCATCTTCATTTGTTGACTTCAATGTACAAATGAACCACAATGACCGTGGCGGTAGTTTTCGTTAGTGGGGAAGTTGTAATTGTAATGCCTTTTATGTGACTAAACTTGAAGTTTATTTTGTTTTGGATAATTTATTTAATATATTTTTGGATTGTTCAGTTTCTTTATTTTTTGGTTGAGAACAAATTGATGTTGTTCCCTACTTTGTTGTTATCGTTAATGTTCCCAATTGATGTTATATTTGTGCTATGTCTGTTACAAATCTGTTACAGATTTAATGTGTTCCAAAAAATCTATGTCCAAAATGTGTTCCAAATTTGTTACAAAGCTGTGTGAAAAATCTGTTACAAATCTGTTCAAAAATTATGTCTACATATCTATCTACACCCAAATGTGTGGAAAAATCTGTCTTCAAAAGTGTGTGAGAAAAACCTGTCTTCGAATCTGTCTTGAAAAACCAATGTCAAAAAATTATGTTCTCAAAACTGTGTGAAAAACCAGTGTTCAAAAAAGCTGTCTTCAAAAACCTGTGTGCAAAAATCTGTGTTCAAAACTATGTGAAAAAAACCTGTCTTCAAATCTGTCTTGGAAAACCTGTGTGAAAAAAAGGTCTTCAAAACTGTGTGAAAAATCTGTGTTCAAAAACCTGTGTGAAAAAATGTCTTAAAATCTGTCTTCAACAACCTGTGTGAAAAATAGATAAACAAAATCTAAGAAGAAAATGTGTCCAAATCTGTCAACCTGTGTTCAAATACACAAGAATGTATGTTCAAATACACAAGAATGTATTTCAACAATCTGTGAAGCACCTGTGTTCAAATACACAAATCTGTGAAGCACCAGACTAGAAGAATCTATGTTCCAAATCTGTCCAAAATCTGTCCAAATATGTGAAGAAATTATGTTCATAATATGTGTTAACAAGCTGTCCAAATTTGTGAAGCACTTGTGTTCAAATAGACAAATACCTAAACAGAATCTGTGTTGAAAATCTGTCCAAATCTGTCAATAATATATGTTCAACTAGACAAACAGAATCTATGTTCCAAATCAGTCCAAAATCAGCCCAAAATTCTGTCTAAAATCAGTCCAAATCTGTTCATAATATGTGTTCAAACAAACAAACAAACAAATAACTTTCAAGCTTCCAATCAGATAACAAACAATCCACATGATTACATATTCATACTTCTCAATCCATAATTGTAATATATCATAAATCTTCATACATATCATCTTCATAATTAATACAACACAAATTACATGTTCTAACTTGTATAAAAACTTATTACATCTTCATAATTAATATAACACCAATTACAAGCAAGATGAAGATCCCATTAATACAACACGAATTTCTATTTATGTCTCTTTGCAATTTTTGCATCTGCGCGTTCTGAAACTGATGTTGTTCGCTTTGAAATCGAAGATGTTCGCCCATACTTTGAAGTTGTTCGGTGACAGTCTCTCTCTCTCTCCATAATTTAGAATAAAAAATTTCAAAATTGTGATAACCTGAATATCAATGCAAGTCCTTATGCATAATGTTTTAGCAAGTAGCTCTGTAGCAGATAAAAAGTTGTAAGAGAAACTAGGGAGACAAATTTCTGTCCTGGTCCAGGAAGATGGAAAAATATAGCAGGTATTTACTTCAATGGACTCAATCATGAATATAATTTAATTTCCTCTATTTTTGTAAAATCCAGAGATTGCAACCCTTTTCTGATCCCTATCTCTTTGATTGGGTGACTAAATTTGATATTGTTGGACCTTCAAGAAGGCTGTGTACACGAAAAAATTATTTGCAAGACATTAGCAGCCTGATGTTGGATGAATGGAGAGATTAATTTCAACCAACATTTTTTTTTTCTTTTGGGAAAATTTCAGTTCCAATCCTATTATAGAGTTGAAGTAGTTGAAAATGATAATTAGGATTTCGGAGGGGCTATGTGTAGTCTATTATTGCACCTTTTTATTTTTTAATATATATAGTTTTTGTTGGCTATTCAAAACAAAATTGAGTTAAGGCTAATAATTATGCATAAATTATTAAGTGCTTCAAGATAGAGCTGAGCATAAATCTTATCATAACCATATGCAGGAAATTAATATAAATTACTAAGTGCTTCATAAATTACTAATTGCTTCCTGATGTACACATCTCGAAGTTGTAATATTTGCATTCCACCACATGTAGATGTTGTAATATAAGGAAACTTGGAATTATGAATTACAAATGATCATACATTTCCTTAAAGAATGGAAGTTCAATATTATATTCTTAATTTCTTGGAGCTTAATAATATTAAACCATGCTACATTGATTAATTGCATTTGAATTATGTAAAAGTAGTCACCTTATAACAGTACGGATGTAATTTAGATCAACCTCTTAATTAATGCATTATGCAGCATTAGTAGATATAGACATATAATAGAGACATATACCGACAAGAAACCATTCATGCACACATTAAAATATGTACTCTACTTTTGTTTATGTAACTCTTTGATCCCAAAATTGATAACCTACCTCCATTTCTAATTTTTGTTAAATCCCAACAGATCTGGATCTTGATCTATCCAGTGTCTTAATGCCACCACATAATTAATTATGATTTGTTATTGTCATAGATGACTCAAGGTTCTTCCAAACAACCTTGACAGTCTAGGTCTGTGGATGGTGAGGCAAGCTTCAATTTTTTAGTAGCCAACAAAAGCCAATGTGGCAGCAATGGCGCAATGCAGGGGAGGCAAGAGCTACTGACTCTTATGAAAATTGGTACCACAAACATATATAAATAAAAGGACTAAGCAAATTAGGACTAATTTTAAATCAAAGTCAAAGTCACAATCTGTCGCAGTGGTAGATTTATTGTTCCTAACATCAGTCAAAATAGTCAGCAGGAAAAAAAGTAAACTAGTGAATATGGTGTTAGTCTGATCATTTTGGACCATGATAAACTAATTTATCCTTGAAGCATTTGTTCTACTAAGTGTATACATGCATACATATGATGGGACTTCTGAATTCTTATACAAAGCATATATAAATGTATGATTAAGGACCAATTCTATAACCACATTGCTTATTTTTTGAAGCTGTGCTTTTTTTCCTCATGTTAATCTGCCGGTTCTAATAATACTATTTTCCTTCTATTTGAAAGTGCATCGTTCATGGATTTTAATGGCGCAATGTAGGG